ATGTGGCTTGGAGTTGCAGCGGCTGACAGCCCTTGCGCAACGAAAACTCGCAGAGATGGCACGGCTGACACATGCACCAGTTGTTGAGCGCGTTCTTCATCGACGGATCCCGCGTGCACGTGACCGCTCCCGAGACGACCGTCGCCGCAGCAAACGCGCCGAGATACCGCACGTGGACCATGTTTAAGTTGTCGGCGGAAAGTTGGAAAGTGAGTTGGTTGTGCTGGCTGTTGGTGGCCAAGCTCAAAGCACACGCGACGTGCACGGTGCTGTGTAGCATCCAAGATCTCCTAGACCCATACCTGATACCTGCAGCACCGGTCCAAATCGTCTTTATAAAGAGGCGCCTTTAACAAGATCGTAGTAGTGTTGACGAAAGCCGCTTTCGTCAACACCGAAACATTCTTGTGTATCTTGGCCAGCCCATGGGCTTTTCACTCGTGCAAGAGCGAGAGGATACAAAGCTACCCTTCTACGACGTGCACCATGATGTGCATCAACAGTTACGGCACTTGAAGCTACCCTTTCCGTGTGCATCGGCAATGTCAACTTGTCTGTTTTCAGCGTCTCGGCACGTGCGACGGTTGAGAGCGTGCGGACCAACGCCAATCGGCGTCGAGTAGTCTGCATGCTCGTTCAACGCGGTGCAGTGGTGACCAGCATCTGTTTGGATGTGGGCGTTACAGCCGTTTCCAGCCATCACGCCGGATGGATGGCGGCGGCGCTACAACCCGTTATGAACTGTAGTCACGAACGAGCTTGGCTTCGAGTTTGTTGGTGTTGGACTCTCTCAATTCGAGAGAGTGGTTTGAGAGTTTGAAACCTCATTCATGTATAATTAAGGGTGCGTTTGGTTTGTCCAAAGCATGTGCATATCAAGCGGTCGCGGTCTTTCTCAACTGCACGACGGTACTGCCATTGCAACCTCTTTTGTCGATGGAGCTGCTCCCGGAGATGCTCGCGACGACGTACATGCATCTCGAGACACTGTCCGTCATCGATCAGGATTTGACGCGCAATGGGTCTGCGGCTGTGCCGTCGGGCGTGCTGCGATTGCTACACTTGAATATTTCGATGCGTCTGCTGGATGTGCTGCACGTGCTTGCAGAACTTGTTGCTGCTTGATGACCATCAAGCGCGACAGCTACGAAATGGGAAAGCGCGCAATCTACAAGGCGCTGGCACTGGTCGATGACGTCCCGTTCGTACACCAGGGTTGCTAGAGGACATGAAGAAATTCGTGGTCGACGCGCTCAATCGACGCGCTGATCGTCACCATCGGTGCGAATTGCATTTCTTATCACTTCGAAATGCAACATGTAGGCTCATAGTGACCATTGCGGATAACCAACTTTGTGGTTCCGATACAAATCCCGATGGGCCGACCTACCGCTGCCAAGTCCATGGACGATTGCCGTCAAGGCGGCGCGTGTCGCTCAACTGCACTTGCACCACAGCCTCGTACACGAGCCCGAGCAGCCTGCTCTTCGTTGGCTTCTCCAGCTCCTCGCTCAACACAAGTGGCCGCGACGCCACCTTGCCGTGCGGATCGCGCTCCTGCCTCCGCCTGCCTAAATCAAGTTCCTCCACCTAGTTTACACAGCATAGAAAGTCCAACAATTTTAGCAGAGTTGATTTATTGTAATAGAGGACCCGTTTCAACGACAACTACGCATACGAGGCATGAGCCTTTTATCAGCCGCTGATTTCCCTGAAGCAAAAGCTCGACATGAGATCCTGATCCCTCGAGTTCAGTCCTTGTGGTAGGGCATCAATAGCATGGCATGGCACTCGTCATCAAACATCCGATTGCACTCCGTCGACTAGGATGACAACACGAACAATCTGTCATTAGTGTGCAATGCAGACACTGGATTGAATCAGATTACCTAGTGTACTCTGCGCATATGCAGCACTGTATTTTGCATTGCTGTTGATTGCGTGTTGAACTCGACGGAATATTTGACGAACCGCAACCTGCTAGCATCATCGTTAAAAGAACGCACTGAAGTCGATGGTCCTAACCCTACACCGTGATGGTCGGCCGTGGAGACAAGAAGACGTAACGAGGCAGTGGATCGATTATGGTGTATGTATCTAGCGCAACTTAAAAGTCGTTTTCAATGCGGGCTTGTTCGTCGGCAATGTAGTGCTCCATCTCGGCGCACTTCTCCAGCATATGCCCATCGCGCTGGCACGCGCACGTGACCTGAACGATGCGCGGCTGCGTCTCGAGCCACTCGAGGTTTGCACAGCTATCGATCTCGCCGTCTTCGAGTTTGGCGCAGCGACCGTCGCCGTCCACGAGGTCCTTCATGATTTCGCCGTACATGGCCCAGAACGGCTTGTAGTAGAGCACGTACGGCTGGATCCACGCGTTGGGCGACTTGGCGTACGCGTCCAAGGCATCGGCGGCGGCCAAAACGATTTCTTGGACAAGTCGACCGAGAAGCCCGTGAGCTCGCTAAACTTGCTGATGCGGAAATCCTGCGCGTGCTTGGCGACCGTGATCGCGCCATCTTGAACGTGCGCCGTGTCGACAATGTTGGCACCGAGTTCTGCGTCCGACGTCATGCTGCGGACGTTCCAGTTGCTCGAGCCGAGTGAGAGAAAGACGTCATCGACGAGGAGGACTTTGGAGTGGACGTAGATGCCGAGGCGCGGGTCGGGAATGTAGATCTGCACCTTCTTCGGGAACTTTTCAAGGAGCGGGGCCATCATGTCGTACTGGTACTTTTGGTAGCCGGACGCAAGCTCGACCTTGCCGGGCGTGACCGTAAAGATGATGAGGCGCTGGATGCGCGGGAGGACCTTGAGGAGCTCGTCAAGGAGCTCAGGCACGTGGATAAAGTACTGGTCTTCAATGTAAATGTAGTTTTTCGCGTTCCGGATGGCCTTGATGCGGCCCGCGAGGATCGATGTCTCGCCCTTTGGTGCAAACGACTTGTAGCCCTTGTACTTGCAGCTGTACGTGCGGAGGATCTGGACGTCGTGCGTGCCGACCGTGTTGTCGACGTCGACAGCGCTCAAGACAGCGTCGGCGGCGATCTCGTTTTGGGGTAC